ATAATAACTCATACATGTGTCTCAGATGAGTGCCAGAATATCCTGAGCCAATTCTCAATTTACTCCCCTCCATACCTCATCCCAGTTTCTGTCAAACTCATTTCCAGTGGTGTTTGAGGCATAGCTCATCTCCTCACTCTGTTCCTTTCCATTCATTTCCCTTCTCTTAGATCTGAATGAAGAGTCTGAGGGAGATAAAGAAAAATAGAGCCCTAAATCAAGTAGGGGTTTTCTGACAGTCATTGCATTCTGGCACTAGAGTTCTTTTTAGTTACATTTCATCAGAACAGAGATTTTCATGAAAATATGCTAAGGTCCTTTGCAATGCAAGCAGTTGACCCAATGTTCTTTCTCTCTAAAATTGTTGTAAAGTCTATATCATCTCATTTTAGTCACCAGTCCAGCTCCTGTGGTTGCTGTTTGCATAGTATATATTTTTCCATCCATTTACTTTCAACTTCTTTGTGTCTTTGCATCTAAAACGTGTCTTCTGTAAACAACATATATAGCTCTGGTTTTTGGGTTTTGGCTTTTTGTTTCTTTTTTTTTTTTTTTACCCAGTCTGACAATCTCTGCCTTTTGATTTGATTATTTAATTCATTCACATTTATTGTTCTTATTGATATGGTTGTATTTACGTGTACCACTGTACTTTTTTAAACATTTTTTAATGGAAATATATTTGGCATATAACATTGTAGAAGTTTAAGGTGTACATGTTGATTTGATTCATTTATATGTTGCAATATGACTGCCATTGAGCATTAGCTAACACCTCTGTCACATCACATAATTATCATTCTGTTTTGTGGTGGGGATAATTAAGATCTAGTCTCTTAAAGTTTGATGTTTATAATACAATATTGTCTGTAATCACTGTACTGTGCATTAGATCTCCAGGACTTATTTATCTACTTGTTGCAAGTCTGTACATTGTATTTTTTGTTTTCTGTGGTGTCATATCTTTTTGTTCCTCTGTTTCTCCTTTATGGCTTTATTTTGCATTATGTGAGTATTTTCTAGTATAACATTTTAATTTCTTAAATGATTTTTTTAATGTTTTTCAAGTTTATTTTCTTGGTGATAGCTCTAAGACATATAATATATACCCTATCTTATCAGGATCTACTTCAGATTTATACTAACAATGCCAGTAAGATACAGAAATGTTCTTCCTACATAACTCTCTTCCTCCTCCCGTTTTTGTGATATTATTTATATACATCTTACGTCTATATATGTTCCAAACCCAATGATATATTGTCATAATTATCACTTTATACCATCTTATGTCTTTTAAAGAAACTGAAAGAAGAAAGGAGAGCAGGTATATATCTATAGAGTTTGCTTGTGACTTCCTTACTTACCATTTCTGGTTCTCCTCATTTCTTTCTGTGGTTACCATCTGGTGTAATTTCTTTGCTCCAATACAACTTTGTCTCCCTGCCCACCTCCTTTGTGCTTTTATTGTTTTAGGCATCAAATTTTAAATCACTTACAAGAAGAAAGGAAAAATGCAATTATACTATCTTTTACAATTACCTACATAATTACCTTTTTTGGTGTTCTTTGTGTGTGTGTGTGTGTGTGTGTGTGTGTGTGAGAGAGAGACAGAGAGAGAGAGAGAGAGAGAGAGAGAGAGAATTTGAATTACTGTCTGGGGTCACTTGCTTTCAGCATGAAGAACTTCCTTTAGTACAGGCATACCTCATTTTATTGTACTTTGCTTTACTGCACTTCGAAGATACTGTGTTCTTTATAAGACCTTCCACCAGCAAAAAGATTACAACTTGCTGAAGGCTCAGATGATGGTTAGCATTTTTTAGCAATAAAGCATTTTTTAATTGAGATATTTACATTGTTTTTTTGTAGACATAATGCTATTGCACACTTAATAGAATACAGTAAGTAGAGTGTAAACATGACTTTTATATGCACCAGGGAAACAAAAAGTTCACGTGACTCACTTTACTGTGACATTCTATTTATTGCGGTGATCTGGAACTGAACCTGCAGCATCTCCAAGGTATGCCTGTATTTCTTGTAAGACACATCTGCTAGCAGAAAACTGAACTTCTCTCAGTTTTTGTTCATCTAGGAATGCCATTATTTCTCTTTCATTTTTGGAAGATAGTTTTGCTGGAAAGAAGCTTCTTAGTTCATAGTTTTTTCTTTTCAGCACTTGAAATATGTCATCCCACTGCCTTCTGGTCCACTGTTTCTGCTGAGAAGTCAGTTTTTAATCTGACTGGGATACCCTTGTACATGATGAATCTTTTTTTTCTCTTGCTGCTTTCAAGACTTTATCTTTGACTTTCAGCATTTTTACTATCATGTGTCTGCGAATAGCTCTCTTTGTGTTATCCTACTTGTAGTTTGTTGAATTTCTTGCATATATAGATTATTTCAGTAACATTTCATTCATTATCTCTTTGATATTTTTTCTGCTCTTTTCTCTACTTTTGGTACTCCCATTACATGTATATTAATGTACTTAATGGTGTGCCACGTTTCTCTGAGGCTCTGTTCATTTTTCTTCATTCTTTTTTCTCTCGTTCTTCAGACTGCATAATCTCTATCAATCTGTCTTCAACTTCACTCATTCTTGTGTCTGCTCAAATCTACTGTTGAACCCTATAGTGAATTTTTCATTTCTATAATTTACTTTTCAATTCCAGAATTTCCATTCTCTTCATTTTTATAATTTCTCTCTCTCTGATATTCATTATTTGATGAAACATTGTCATCATACCTTTGTTTAATTCTTTAAGAGTGATTTCCTTTAGTTCTTTGACCATATTTATAAGAGCTGCTTTGATGTCTTTGTCTGCTAAGTACAGTATCTGGGCCCTCTCAAATGAGTTTATGTTATCTGCTTTTTTCCAGTGTGTGGATCACACTTTCTTATTTCTTTGCACACCCCATAATTTTTTGTTGACAGCTGGACATTTTAGATAATACAGCAATTCTGGAGACTAATCCTCCTCGCTCTCCCCCTCTACCAAACCTGGCTCCTTTTTGTTTGCTTCCTTGCCTATTTTCTTAGTGACTTAGCTAGATGAGTTCAGCCAAGTCTATTCTCCTTCTGATGTCACTCCTTAGAGGGCACAGCCTTAGGCTATGAGCAACATTCTTATATTTCCTTTTTTAAATGGCATAATTCTTCCAAATGGCTCTCTTTGACTGCCTCTCTGCCTGATCTCCCTAGAAAGCTATAACTTAATAAAACTGATTCAAGAGGAAAAAGAAAAGTTGAATAATCCTGTTTATTAGAGAAATGTAATTAGTATTTTAAAATCATCCCATGAACAAATATCAGATTTAGATCATTTTTACTGGGAAATTCTATCAGACATTTAAGTTACAAGTAATTTCAATCCTATACAATCTATTCCAGAAAATGAAAAAGTAAGGACAGTCTCTCAATCACTTTACGAGGTTAGGAAAGGCTTGGTAGCAAAACTAAGGACAGTACAGAAGGAAAAGTAAAGGCCAATCTTATTCATGTACACAGATGAAAAAAATCCTAAACAAAATATTATCACATAATGAAGCCAAGGAATTATTGCTAATTTTGCTAGGTGTAATGATGGTTTTGGGGTTTTAAATATATATATATATATATATATATATATATATATACACGCTATTTTTAGAGTTGCATACTAAAGTATGTAGAGGTGATTACATAAGGTCTCAGATTTGCTTTAAAATATACTTAGGGGGAGTAGATTGGTTCTCAAATATTCTAGCATCTTGATGGGAGTTTATGGGAGTTTGTCATGTTATTATCTCTGCTTTTTTGTGTATTTGAAAAGTTTCATACTACAAAAAGACTAGAAACATAGACTTGATTATGTATAATTTTCTTTTAAAAAGAGAAAGAAAATACATATTTTAAGGTGGCAAAAGCTAATGCCATACCTGGACAGAAATATGACAAGGTGGGGAATTCATTTTTTTAAGCAGTTGATCTGGCCTCACCCAAAAGAGATCCCAAGCAAGGTACACTGCAAGCACTTGCAGTCTCTGAAGGCAGAGCAGGGATGTGCTGGACAGGAACATTCTAGGAGGATGGATGAAGTTCCCAGCCAGTGTAGATGGAAAGGAAGTTCACATATGCACGGTGATTTCACAGCTAGAAATGGACCAAGTGCTTCCTTTAGCCGTCGTCAGTTACGTTTAGCCTTTATCTCCATCATCAGGATAAAGTGAGATGATGTGTGTGAAAAATCAGCAGATTGTAAAGCTATGCAAATGTGTACAAATGTAAGATACATTAAATGTTATTTACAGAAGCAATTATACATGTAAAAGGGAGGGGAGTGCAACTACTTTGGAAAAATGTTTGGTGTTTCCCCAAAGTGTTAACCACAGATTTATCATATGACCCAGCAATCCTAGGTATATGTACTCAGGAGAACTGAAAACATATATCTACACAAAAACTCATACACAGATGTTCACGGCATCATTATCCAAAAGTGGAAACAATCAAAATGTCTACAACTTAGGAATGGATAAACAAAATGTAGTGTTTCCATACAGAAGACTATTATTCAGCGATAAAAAGGAATGAAGTACTGACACATGCTACAACATGGATGAACCTTGAAAATATTTTGCTTAGTGAGAGAAGCCAGTCACAGAAGATCACATATTTTATGATTCCACTTGTCTGAAATATCCAGACTAAGCAAATCCATAGAGACAGAAAGTAGATTCATGGTTGCCAGTGTCAAAGGAGAGGGAAGAATGGAGAATGAGTGCTAATGGGTATGGGTTTCTTTGGGGAATTACAAAAATTTTCTAAAATTAGATAGCGATGCTGGTTGTGCAACTCTGTGAATATACTAAAAAACACTGAATTGTCCACTTTAAAGGGGTAAACTTTATGATACGTGAATTATATTCCAATAAAGGTGTTATGTAAAAGAGTGAGTTAGGGGGACAGAGGAAGGAGAGTTAGGGCCAAAATGGTTTTACCTCATATCACTCACCGCCTCTATTCCCACCACCACCTGGGTCTTGAAGTCTTCTGTCAAACTCAGGAAGATGTATGATTCTTTTTTTTTAAACAGCATTGAGAAAATGCTAAAAGTGTAAAGCAGAAACAATAAGAAAGCCAGGAATTGCCATTTTACTCTCCCGCCCCTGCCTCTTTTTGTGCCGGTAATTTGCTCACCTGGACAAAGATGTGGCTTAGAAGACTGAGGGAGGATCAGCATTCCCAGAAGAATAGGCCTCCTGGTCTGGAATTTTCTCCTCCCAACCAGTAAGGAGCATATTCGAGGTACTGGCAAAACAGAACCGAGATGATTATTTTTAATCACCGAATCTAATTGTCAAAATTGCCACAAGTACAATCCCACGTCTTTCATACCGAACTCAGAAGCATGTTCCCAGGCTCGGGGGGATTGAATGACTCCCCGTTCCATCTGCTGCGGTGAGAACAGATTACTTTCTGGGCCAGTTGGCTTTCACTCATCTTGTTCTTTCTCTCCCCGTTTTCCTGTCTCCCTTTTGTTTTTCAGTGGCTGCTTCAACTCCCAACTCCACTGCTGGTGCAGCCATGAATTCTTTGACCTCTCTTGGGACTCTGCAAGGACTGGCGGGAGCCACTGTTGGATTGAATAATATTAATGCACTAGCAGGTACCATAAACAGTGAGTATTTGTTGCTCTGGTGGACAGCCTTCCCCCAAATTCGCCACAGAAAATGGGCAGCCAGAAATGACCTAAAAAGGAATTAAAACTTGGGATGGAGGAGCGCATGCTTTGATAGGCAAACTCTACCTACATTCATTTGCCTCAAAAAATACCCAACCCTCGCCACCCCTGGAGTCTTCTCTAATATGTCGCATGTGTATTCATCCATAGATTTCTGTGGTTGACAGATATTTGCAGGTTTCAAGGGTTTTGGTTTTTTTCTGTTCTTCTTGGAGGCAGGGTGTTATAACAGAAAAATTAATAGACTAGAAATCAGGATGCATGGGTCCAGCTCCAATCTGCCACCAGTCACCTACAGGATTTTAGGCAAATCACTGCCCCCACTCTGGGCTTTAGAGTCCCCATTTGAAAACTGACAGTTCTGGGTCATACAATCTTAAAGGTGCCCTCCAGCTCTAAAAGCTAAAGATTCATGACAGTTATATAGGCCGAAAAAGGAGGCCTTGGAAAGAAGGAAATGCAGTTGAATGGAGAGAAGCCGCTGCTAGAGGTGACAGCATCTGGAGTCTTTATTAAGCACCCACAGGCATGAATCACCTACAGCAGTGCCTCTCCAAAGGGGCGTGATTCTCCCATGGCAGGCTGACGCAGAGGGGGGCAAGTCATTTACAGAATTCCTTAGTTCTGAAACACGGGGACTCACCAGAGAACTCTAGGTTCTGTCCTACAGAATGGCCTTGCCACTTCTAGAATCTTAGATCTACTATCCTCTGTCCAGAATGGTACCTGGCCAGAGGATACATATATTTTAGGCTTGTGCTTAGCGTTGGCTCCTATGTTGGGGGAAACTGATCCTGAACCCACAGAGGAGACATTTCACTTGCCTTTCCCTAGGTTCGGTCCCTACTGGGTGGCTGAGAGTGGCCAAGCCCAGCAGGTCCATGACAGCCTAAAGAGATTCTGATGTGGGGGCCCAGTTACCTACCAGGCACCCCAGGCAACCCAACATCTGCCCCTTTGAAGCTTTAAGAAAGGGGACCTTGGCAAGTTGCCCTATTTTAAGCCATGATTCAATAAGTGAACTATTTTTAAAGTGTGATCAGGCAGTACAATTTTTTTTAAAGCAAAAAAATCCCAATGATTCTATACTTTGAAAAAGTTCAGAAGGAATACTGTGCAATTTATTTGGTACAAAAAGAACCTAGAACTCCCTGAAATGAAGACTGATAAGAAAATCACTCATATATTTAGAGGTGGGAAATTTTCAGGTTTTATTAATCCTTTTATTCAGATGTTCTGGGGAAAAGAAAAAACACTCGGCCTGAGTTTTGTCTGACATAGGCCAGAAAAAGAAGAAAAAGACTTTTCTTTCCAGATATGAGGGCTCTTGATTAGCAAACAGTATATGAAGTGGTAACCATGTGATGGCAGAATGTTTTATTCCAGAGACACTGCCTCCTGCTCCCCCTTCCCAGCAGTCCAGGAGGAGCCTCATTGCCTTGACTCCTGTTTCTGACCTTGTTCTGCAGACGCTCCAACCCACCTGTCCTCCCCTTGGGGGCAGATGTGTATGTGTGTGCACATCCCTTCATGCTGCTTCTCTTGCCCCGGGACCTAGTTCCCCTAAAACAAGGACTTTGATTTGATCATCTTCCTGTCCTTGGTCTGCAAAGTAACAGGCCAGTGGGAATGGCTGTCCTCCTCAGCATGTGCTCACCACTGCTGTGTGTTGTCCTCCTGTCTGTGTGGTCCCACCGCTCCATCCTGTTCTGTTGGACTTTGCTGGGATTTTCCCATCGTTATCATAAAGGACTAGAGAGGGACTTTGTTGAATGGCAGAGAAACCATGACTAGTTCTTGTGTGGGGTCTGTGTTGTACAAATTTTGCTTCTGGCAAGGACAACAGGCTTCAGCTGTTGTGTTTTTTAAATTCTTTGCCATTAGGTTGATATAAGTATGTATAGTTCTTGGAAAATTATGAATGTTTCTAGTTTAAAATAACCCCTACCAGAGAATATAAACCAGGAAAATGTTTAATTTAACCAAAAGTCATACCCAAACAAAAATACATTCCTTCTGACTTGGTGAATGTTACTAGTGCAGAGCTATTTAACAATCCCAGTATTAGTTTCGAGCAAATATTTGCGTCTTGTCTCAAATACCACGAGAAAACCTTCTAATATAGAGTGTCCTCTTTCAGACCATTCTTCCTCCATAGACATGATGATGCTACCTGTCCTGCTGGACAATTCTCAAAGAAGGTAGTCAAGAAATGGTTACCTGGACAGAGGCCGCTTCTAAAATAGTTGGCCTCATTTCCATATCATTGCTGTTTCCTACCGCACACCATCCTAGAAATCATTACTTGCTACCGGAAGGAGAATTTTCTGAATAGATCCAACTCTTTTTTCCGTGGACAAAGGAGCCAGGAAGAAAGCAGATGGAATGCACAGTTAATTTTCGAACTCACCTTAGCATAAATTTTACCCTCTTCCCTGCCAGAGGCCTCCTCACTTCCCCCTCAAAATAAAGTTTTGGTTAGTAGACAAGTAGCTAAATTAAACTGTTAGAGTTTGATATCCTTTTTCTTCCTTTATACATTCACAAAAGGAGTGACTGAAAAAGTACAGCATCCTAAAGCTAAAAGCAGAAATCCAGCAAGATCAAAAGGACGGAATGTGGGTAATTCACGAACCGAGCTTTCACTTCTGGTTTATTTGAGGGTTCTCCAGGCGTGTTTCGTTTGTTAACATCTGAACTAAGACAAAGAAATGTCCATAAGATTCTGCATCTGATTTCGTGTGTTTAAATATATGTCAAGTGACATCCTTATTTTTCCTTGTTTAAATGGCATAATTCTTCCAAATGGCTTACCATGTGGCGCTTGAAATTATGGTTGTCCAAATATAAGCCACAAATGCCTGGTGAATGGTGTTTATGGAAAGATTTTGTGTCGAGAAGAAAAAAGAGAAGATGCTTTGGGCATATTATTGTGGCTTGTCACCCTTTATATACATTGTGAAATTACTGTTTTAATCTGTATTCTTGCAATATATAAAAGATATGTGTAGCTAGATACATGTACAAGCACACACAACCTCACACACACTTGTGACCATATTAACATAGACATATGTATAAATGCCACTAACTGTACATACTCATATTCGTCTCTCCTGGTTCTAGACATTTTATACTTAAGTTCTCATTATCAGCTTGCTGCTTAGAAGGATATACCTTATCTATACCAAGGAAAGCTTATCCCAGTAAATAGATTACAAACCTATGAGAATATTAATCCAGTCCTCACTTCTCTCTTTTTTTATTTGGTATAAAACCTAGCAGAGTGGCTTGCAAGTAAATGTAGTTGGCTTATGGTACCCTGCCCCCAAGTCTACGTTTTAGTACCATCTTCATAGTGGCCATGGTCATGGTCATGTTCATGGTCATATTTGTGGGTGAGTCCTTCTCTGTCATTTTCACAGATTTACTCAGTAATCTCACAGCTCCTCAGATCTCCATCCGTTGAGGGCAGTTAAGTTTAAAGCACATAGTAGTGAGGATAGGCACTAACTTTATTGATAGGCCATTGGTAAGGACCTTCCCTTGGTGAGGTTTGCCACACCTGCCATTTTGTTCTAGTCTTGCTGATCAAATAGCAAGCGTGGGAGTCTAGATTAAATGGGATGCAATGATCCATCCATTTGGCCTTTTCAAAGAAAAGCCCTATTCTTTTAAGGGGAAGCATTTCATTCAACTTAACCTTCTTCCAACCTCTGTTTCTGTTGTCCAAAGTTTTCAGATGTGATCAGATACCAGCAGCTGAATTGACAAGTGCTATCTTTGCTATAATGATTATTTAATGTAGACTAACCTCAGATAATTCACAGGAATAACTCTCAAAAGTTGAAATCTTTCTTTGATGGTTCTTCAAATTCTACCAGGTAATCCACTACCCAGTCTACTTGGATTTGGCACACACACACATCAAATTTTCTGGGATAGTTTTGGTTTTAAATATTCTCAATGCACTTGTACTTGTTAGAATATTTACCCTTATTTTTTATTCAAAAGGATGGTTATACCGTGGAGAGGAAAGCCCTGGGCTGCAGAGGCCGTGGCTACTCCCCTCTTTGGCATCAACATCCCTTTTACTTGGTGCCTCCTCGACCATCTCCTTCCCCATCCCAGGCAGGTTAAGGCCAACCAGGACTACCTCCCAGACACGTGGAATCAGCTGAAGCAAGCAGAACCCTTCACAAAGCACATTTGCCCTGAGGTATAGTCCAGAAACACAGCCAACCACTGTGAAAGGTAGGCAGGAACCATGTGTGGATGTAGCTGGCATGTCCCTCACTAGAGCTGCAGGCCTCACAAGGACTCCAGTCCTGAAACATCCAGCCAGTCTTTCACGAGTATGAAGTTCATTCTGCTTCTATATTTCAAGAGAAAAAAAAATTGGCAAAAAGGGGGAAAGAGAAGTAAAAAGATAATTCTCATAACCTAGACAATTAAAAAAAGGCCCCATACCAGAAGGGAAGGAGCCAGGCACCAATGACCACTGCAATTAAATACCACCTGTGTGTCTAGCCCTCTGGAGAAGCCAGGTTGTGGAAGCTACAGATCACAGGAGGGCACTCAAAGGTCTCACATGGCAGGGCCTGAAAACTCCGAGGCCCTTAGCTGACAGGGTACTGTGGAGACGCAGTGCTCTCAACCACTCCATTGATGGCAGGGGGATCCGGAGACAGTCCTCGTAGTGGAGCCTCTGTCTTCAGCCCGTGTTTGTCAGACAGCTGTGCTCCATGTAGCTGTCAGCCAACGTGCACACCAGGAACCATATGCCTTGGGGTCTAAGTAGGGTAGCAAGTCACCGCTCACTTTCCTACTAGAATTCTCTTCCTGCCCATGAATCCAGTCTTCCAGAGGGCTGAGCCCATGACGTGATCATCTGTATCCTTAGCACCTATTGACAGCCTGACAAAAATGAAACCAGCAGCACTTGTCAACAGTTCCTGGCTCTTCTCGGGTTATCTTACACCCTGTCTCTGAAAAGAAACGTTGATGTTTCTTTGCATTCACACAAATATTGGGAAGTGAGAATGAAATAAGACCAAAAGGGGAAAAGAGAAATAAATACTCCCTACCTCTTCAGCAGCCATAAGAGTAACAGGGATGGAGAAGAAAGGAAGCATGAGGTAAATGTGATTAGTTGGTGTCTGAGGGGTTGTTTAGAGTAATTAGGAGGACAAACTATTTGCAGGCTCTTTAACAGCACTTATTTGCATGATGGGAAAGAATTAGGGAGAGAAACTTAAAGGAGAGTCAGCAGGACCTCTGCTGGCCAACACCCTTTTAGCTTAGCTTGTGTTTCCTAGATCTGCAAGAAGTCACTTCCTTCTTCAGTAGGCTAGTTACTCCATTCTTGTGTCCCTCTGACTGTCCTTGCCGCTCCACCCCACCCCACTCCTCTGCCTGAGAAGACAGTACTTGGTAACATCACCCAAGGCCCAGTTCTGTCTCCTCAAGCCCCCCAGGGAAGAATACCAGACAGAGGCACTATGAGATTCCTCTACTGTAAAGCCATGGGGTAATTCATATCTTGTATGTAGTCCTTTTAATCTAAGAGAGGAAGTTTGTCAAAATAACAGAGGCACGTATGGACTAAGTAAAACATTCCCCACCTCCTCTATTTCCTGTGGATGGCAAGCCAAAAACATTGACGGGAGTGTTGAGGTATTTAAGGATTAGATTTCTCTGTATAATTTCTAAGCCTCCTTATCTTAGTTCCCTATTCTCATTAGACTTACCTATTTTTTTTCCCAGTTATCTTTGCTATTTTAATTGTCCTAATCAATAGCCCTAATCCCTTCAAGATTTTCATTAATGTTTTCAGTAAGTTCTTCCCAGAAACAGATCTTTTTTTAAAATGTTTTAATCATAAAAGGGAACTAAAGACAATTATGATGTCACCTCTTCCATTTCCTGAGTTTATATGAAAGTTAACACTCTATAAAGTATTGCTTGTTTTGACTCAGTATTCAGGGAAAATGTGACACAGTCAGCAACCATAATAGAGCAAAAGAGCAGCCAGGATACAAGGGAAAAAATCAAAAAAGTGTGCTGGCCAACATCCAGTTCACATCACTTAATAGCCAAGATCCAGCTTACAGACACGCGTGTCACTTCAGTTGAGTGAAAAACATGACATGGAGCTCTTTCACTGGCAGAAACCCCAGTGACATGGGCACTGATTAATATTCCTATGTGTGTCTGTTTGCTGCTGAAAATGGCCCCATTCTGTTTCTAGCCCTTCATACTGAAGAAGGAACTTCACTTCTCTGCAATTAGAGGAAGGATCCACATTTTCTCCTATGCTTTAATTCTTAATCAGCTCAGCTCCTCCTAAGATCCTAGTCCCTGATAGCATCCTTCAACTGCTTAGGAAAGCCGGTTAATGGAACTGCCGATTCACTGGTTTATTGAGTTCAGGGCTTGTCTTCTCTGCCACTTCCTCATCCGACAGCTTAAGGGAGAAAAGTTTTATTTTAACCTTTCCTCAACCCCTTGAGCCATCCCAGGGCTCCTCAAAGAGCCCAGTAAATGGATTTAAGTGTACAGATGTTACAGGCCTCTGCCACTAATGTGTTTTTACATGCTTCTAGGCTCTGAGAAGCAGAAGGCTTTTATTTTAAAAAGATAACAACAGTACTTGCCAGTAGCACATTGCATGGAATTACAATGTGTTGTCTAACTGTGGTGCCTTGGTGAATCGTGATCAGTGGCCTGGGGAGTGAGGGTTATCATCACTCGAGGGGTTGGTTGTTGGTGTTTGTATGTTCACCATTATTATGATTTATTACTTCATAGTTTCGTTTTTGATTTCATGTTGGTTGAATTGGTGTGCTGGCTGCATGCACTTGCTGTTGTACTTGTGTCAAATGATTCTCTAACTTCCTTTGGAAAGCACTAATGAAAAGTGCTATTTCTCTTCTCTATTGTTGGGTTTTTTGTAAAGTTGCTCAAATGCTCTCAGGTATGGCGGCTCTGAATGGAGGACTTGGCGCCACGGGCTTGACGAATGGCACGGCGGGCACCATGGACGCCCTCACCCAGGCCTACTCAGGGATTCAGCAGTACGCAGCAGCGGCACTGCCCACTCTGTACAGCCAGAGCTTGCTGCAACAGCAGAGCGCTGCAGGCAGCCAAAAGGAAGGTACGTGCCTCCCTGCGGCCCAGGGCAAAGGGGCCGCATTCGTCTTTAGAGCAGGTTTTCAAAAAAACTAGATTGAGCCAGTATCATAAGAAAAATCGTTTTATTGCCAGTACTCATGCGTTTTTCTAAGAAACTTGAGAAGCGTAGACTGTTTCAATCTTCTTTCCTATGTTTCATCTACCTTTTTAAGATGGATTTCTCACCCACTGCGTGCTTGTACACGCTTACTTAGTATTTGCTGCCATGAAGAAATTGCCAGCAACCTGCTTTTCCAAATCAGCGTGGACCACCTATTATTTCTCCCCTTACATATAAACTCCTGGGTAGTGGGAGGGATGAGCCGATACTGTCTTCTGTGGGTGGAGTGCTCTCTCTGGCAGGTCCCAGGTTTCTCAGAGTCCACATCCCCTGGGGTTGCCTCTCAGTAGACGATGGTTTCCAGCTTAATGATAAAATCCACTGTTGGGATTGACTCAGTCTTTGTTTAATTGGGGGTTTTCTGGGGAAGCAAATAAGTGATTGATTGCCTTGCTTCTCTGCCAATAAAGCAAGTAAACGTCAGGAAGTTAATGCTAAGAATAAATTAAAGCTAATTATAAAGTACTGAGCTTGTCCAAATAAGGAGAGCTTGTCTCTTTTTCTTTCTTCCTTTTGGTTTCTTCCTCCTTAATTGAAGTTGCTTTAAAGCAGAATCCGCAACGTGATGTTTATTCTCTTTGCGACTTGTCTAGAAGAGTAGAGAAGAACTGCTAAAGAAGTTTCTGTAATTCCTTTCCCTTCTCTTTTATCCTCACCCCATCGCTGCAAACTGTTTGAATACTCTGACTTTCAACATGGTGTTCTCTAAGAAAGAAAATAGTTTTACTTTGTAAGGTGATAAAGGGGACACAGCTTTAAATATACTTGTGTAAAAAAAAAAAAAGGCTTTTTCTCTTTATAAATAACAGAGATCATTAAAAATGAAAGATATATGAAACTAAGTTATTTTTCGTTATTTGAACTTTCTCTTTACTCTTAGTTGACAGTTATTGTAGAGATTTTAAAACACGCAAAACTGTTCAGAGAACTGCGCTTCCCCTGACATGTGGAGACCCTACGTCAGAAACACCAGGACTTCCCAAGGAAACGCCTGTATTGAGGTCCCTTTGTGTGGGGTCTACCATGGTGACAAGTAAGGGCAATAAAGATAATGATGCCCTCAGAAGAGACCATGGAAGCCAGTTCCCTCCCATGCAATTTAGATAGCCTGTGTCTCTAGAAAATATCAGTCAGTCGCCAGCAGACTCAAAATTTGGTCATTTAAGGATAAAGTCTGGGCCCTCAAACAATATTTTTCTCGGTTGCTTCACCCCAGCCCCCTGCCCTAAATCTCCATGCCTTGAGTTTTAGGGATTTAGGGCGTGTGCAGGAGTGAACCCTCTGGGATTAATGTAAAATAGGTGAAAATAACTATTGCCAGTTCCACATTATTTATATTTAGGTATGCAGGCTTCCAATAGCATGGTTTTAGGGTTTCTTATTTTTTGGTTGGTGGTGGTTTTGGTGTGTGCGGATATTTTAATCATCGCTCGCCTTCTCATCTGATCTCTTCTTCCCACCCCGTTAACGTGTGCTCAAAGAATTCAAACCATCTTAATATGAGTTTAACTAAGACATAATTTAAAAGGCAAGTTATGCTGGAAAAAAACCCAATTAATTCCACTATGAAATCGATTTTTAGATTTTCTACTCTGTAGTTCTATGCTTTGGTCAAGAGCGTTGACAGTCAACTTGAGGTATGTAGTCATGTACCTGGTGTATATTTAGCCACAGGAAAATGAGCCCATCTGGCTTTGTAAAGAAATTGGTTTTCATTTTTCCCCAGCTAAATCTTCTGCAGGGTTATGGCAGACCCCGCAGCTCTGAATCCAGGAAAGGCGGCCACCTTGTCTGCCATTCCTGAATATCCTCTCACCTCGTTCATATCTTCCCATCTTCTTTTATTTGCAGGAGGCAAGTCACGCACACACCAAGTAGGTAGAGGCTCCAGAGACCCAACAAGAAGCGAGCAGGCGCGGGCAGTCTGATACAGACACCCCAAGTGCTTTATGCTAGAGCAGATGCCCTGTGAGAAATACAGAGGATGAACTCCTAACCAGCTGGGCCCAACAATGTGACATGGAGAACTCTCACAAGTTAAAATAACATGTACTAGGAGAAATCTGAGCAATGTACTAAACAGCTGAGGAGGATACATAGGTGAAATCCTCAAAAAAGGGGTTTTTTTCCCTTGGTATCTATAGCAATAGCCACCTTCTGTGCATACGAGAGGTTTTTCCATATCAAATCACCTTTCTCTCATTTTAGAGTTAAAAATTTTGGCAGTTTGCAAAGTCAAACTGTTTCTTGGTGATGAAAAGACTGGAGGGTCTACAGTAGGAGATGCTCGTGGCATTTTTTTCCTGGAAAAATGATGAATAAAAGGACAAAGCCTCCTTTTGAGTTTACGTGTCTTCATATTTTCTTGGTCTCCCTATCTGGCACAGATACATTCAGAATGTAGAGCCTTCTAGAATGCCAAGATTATCCAGGCATAGCCAGTAATCCATCATAGTGCATTAAAATTGCATTTTACCTCCAGGCGGTGAGATGACTTCAAAATCCAAATTGGGTCCCATTAATCCTCATTTGTGCATTTGGCCCTTTTATTTACAAGTGACATTAAATCTGGGTAGTACCAGATTTGCCCAATATACATATTGCAAAGGACGCGCGTGGCATGTAACACTCAGAACATCCGTTTCCAGTGTTTTGGTTTTGCATCTATTCATATTAAGTTTTAAGTTTTTTAAAACCAGGAAATATTTGGGGACCTAAGCCCTGCAATTGTGTCCTTTTACATACAGACTGCCTCCCTTGCACTGGAATGCAGATGTGTCCATGGAAATTGTGAGTGATATAAAAAGTTAAAGTGGTCAAGTAGACACTTAGGAAGAAATGCTTCATCTCTGTGGCTTCAGAAATTTGCCTCAAGAAGTGTTCCTGGTGAAAAGTCCCATCAATGAGAACATTTTTTCTTTTATGAAATCGTACAATTGTAAAAGAAAAAATGTTCTAATGAATGGGACTCCTCACTCATCATGGTTATTATTTTTACAAAGTTCCTTTTCCCCCAGTTTTATTTTTCTCTGCCCCGTCTCTCCACTCAAGGGCACCCACTGCAGCCTGTCTCCTGGGGCTTCTCAGTGGAGCAAGCAGTCCTGGTTCCTCTCCTGTGAGTGCCAGTTAAGGTTCCATGAACCAGCTGCAGAGGTTACTTCACCAGTTTTTTGAGCTCCCTTCCCTCCCAGACACCATGCCACAACATTCTAGAAGCATCCCGCCCTGGGGCCTCTCCAGAACCATATGGGGAAGGATCTGCAACTACCCCCAGTGCCCTTCGAGCTGGGAGGCATTCTTATCCCTTATATATGAGAAGATGATACCTTCCATCAGGTCATTTGGAGTCCCTCCTTTTTCTTTTTTGCTTCTTTTAACCTTCAACTAGTTCTTGTACAGGTGGGTAGAGAGATGGGAGAATGAAATGGGAAGGAACTTAAGAGAGCTTACCTCTCCAGCCAGTATAGCTAAGAAGATCTTCCCTATTCTTCCCTTCTTTCTTATATTTTCTGGAAAGTAATGGGTAAGAGTGAACAGCTTGGCTTAGCCTAGTCTTTGACTAGCTTCTGCACCTCATGCACTCATTTCCAAGGCCAGTTCCCAGTGGTATAATTCCTATCACAGTTGGGAAACTCTAGCCACCTATTTTTCCCTGCCTTGACTCATAGCCAGTCATTTCTAATAAAGACGGTTATTAGACTGTGTGTTAAGAGATTTGGCAAATCAAAACTGGATGGATAATTAGGTAAATGATTGAGAAATCCAAGCAGCATTACTGCTTTATCCATTATTCTAAATTGCTGCAATTTGCTTAGAATGCACAGGACACTCTCCTCCAAGAGAGAGTATACGCACACTACAAAACATGGCCGCCCAGCAAAAACCCACTCTACCCCATGGCCCCCACCTTCACCTCCATGAAGGGGAGTTTGACAATATGTACTAATATGCAGTAAGCAAACATGACCCACAGAAGATTATCAGTGAAAAAGAAGCCATTCTTAACCAGTCTCTTTGGAAATTCAGAAAATCTGAAGGATGATTGCTTTCCTAACAGACATCCCAGCACTTGACATAGATCCATCTATTTCATCCTCTTTTAGAATGAGAAGCCCAGATGCTTAGCCTGTCTGTTGTTAGAGCATTCCTAAGAAGAGGCTTTGGGATCTAAGAAGCGAAGAATACCTTACTCTGATTTTTTTTTCCTCTTTAGGTCCAGAGGGTGCAAACCTCTTTATTTACCACCTTCCACAGGAGTTTGGAGACCAGGACATTCTGCAGATGTTCATGCCTTTTGGAAATGTTATCTCTGCTAAAGTCTTCATTGACAAACAGACCAATCTGAGCAAGTGCTTTGGTATGCAAAAGAAACCAAGCTAGAATATTACCCTGCATTCCCAAGTGAGGAGTCATGGGACGGAAAATGTAAATGGCAAATAGTTCAGAAGTCAGGATAGGGCTTTCCCTGTGTGGTGGTGGTTCCTGGTTTTCTGGATCCATGTAAGCAGATTAGGCAAAGTCGTTTAATCGAAAGAGAGAAAGGGCTGTATAAAAAGGAAGGATATGGGAAATGAAACTAAATGCCCATGCATTAGGTAATGTATCAAGGCGTCTTCCTACATATATCTAACAATGTGTCACTGTAGAGCAACAGCAGTTTCTTTAAGCCCCATAAACTGCAGATGGGAGTACACAGTCAACAGACTGTAGCTTTGGCTGTCCTGATACAGAATAGCATTGCAGACACTCTGCCACTAATTCCTTATTCTTCCAGGGTCAGTATGACTCAGACACTGTGGTTGTGGGTAACACACTGTCCTGGGGGCTTGTTCAGCATCCTGATATACACACACACAAACGCACATCCCTTCCCAGTTCGTGGTCACAGAAAGCACTGCCTTAGACTGGAACTCAGGAACCTGCAGACGGGATCTGCAGGGACTGCCTGAGTGGACGGAAAACACAGGAGTGTGCAGGTATTCTCAGAACCTTGGAAAACCCAGTTCCTCAGCACCCCACACTATGATTGCCTGCCTTCCTCAAGCAGCCCAGACTCTGCCTCCCAGGGCAGTTTTCGCTCCCTGAGAGAGGAAGGCAAGCTCACTGCAGGCACTAATGTTTCACAGCAGGAGAAGAGCATTCATTACACCTAGTTCTTGTTTTATTTTTCAAACCCTTTTAGTCCCCAAAGTAGTTAGAAGGTAGAATGTTCAGACTATGTATACTCGCTTGGCAAGTTCTGGCCCAGTCTGGGATTTTGCTTTAACCACTCCTCCAATTTAATAATTCATGGTGGTAGTAGGTAGTAACAGTAGCATAAAACAACGTAGAGTAGATAGGGGCCAGAGGAAATACAACTAGAACTGTATGGCATAAAGAAAACATCAAAGGTAGCGGTGGCTGTCGAACAGCCAAAAACCCACACTTAGTATTTGGCTGACGTAATGGGCAACCAGTCTAAAGAGAATGTGCTGGCTTCTAAAACTGCATTATCATAACGTCTTTCTAATTTCTGTGCCATCACCTAGGAAGTTCTGAAGCCTCTGTTGTTAGGGGAATGAGTGTGTCGAGCATTTAAAGGCCCTTTTTTTACCCCAGCGGAAAGGCTGTCAGCCTGAACCCATTACACTATTGCCGCTGCCGTGGCGAGTACATAAACCGCCTTGTAACGGCTCATGAGGGAGTGCAGTGGAAAGTGAGCTGTTACATGGGGTGTGTGCGTGTTTCAGCGTGAGCTTACCTCTGGGAGCTTCCCTGTGCAAGGTTTTGAGCCAGACTTTTATATTCCTCATCGCGGAACAATGTCCTGGGCTTATTTGGAGATTGGAGAGGGACTGGACTTCGTGGTTTGATTTTGAGAAAATATTTACCGCCTTCAAAAGAGATCCTGTCGGCCCACAAACTACTTAACCAATGTGTTCATAATAATGCAAGCTATAGCTGTGTATCAGCAGACACTGGTATTTAGCATTATGGACTGTGTTTTCAGTTTCTTGCGGTCCCAGGTTTGCTGGATTGCTAGTCACACCGTGGTACCCCATTCTAGCCTCTTAGTCAAGTTTCATTATCCATTTCACCCTTGAACCATTTCCGTTCTCTAATCATCTTGCTGCTTCTGGAGAAAGACCCAGAGGGGAAAGAGAAAAAATCTCGGATTCAAGATCGCATTTATTGGGAATTAGGTTTAATAAAAATTTAAACCACCATTTTGAAATACAGCCTGCCTCTGAGGCTTCTCTGCCTTATACCATATGCTCATTTTTACCAGCTGAAAGTATATTTATGGCCTTTTTTTCCCTCCTCTAGTTTGTAAAGGAATTTTCTCTTTAGCTTTAACCTTTAATAATAGATAGATGGAGAAGCTAGTATAGAACCTCTGATGTTCAGAACTGAAATTCAATCAGTATAATAGTTCCCTTTTGATCCAAAACTAAGTAGGAACTGTAGAAGCTCAGCGTTCACTAAAGAAAGCTCTGCGTGACCGCCCTACAGCTCCGCTCCCCCAGCCCTGTGTTAAAACAAACTGTGTGATCAAAATTCTGTTTCTGGGTCTTCAGTGAGCATCCTTGGTTCTTTTTCAAAAGCGTGCCCTCCCTGCCGTTTTGGTGGCAAGTGTTGGTACAGAGAAGACACTGGGAATTCTGTTAGGAGGGTTGGTAAGCTCCAAGCTGTTTAGACTGTTTATTCCCCAAGACTCTTGGGAGTACAAGGTAGCAATTTCCATTCTGTTGAATTCAGTGGAGCTTTGAAAATGGAAGTTGAGATAAGGAAAAAGGCCCAGTGTTTCCCCTGGGTCCATAGGTTCCTCTCAGTAATGACTCCAAAATGTTAAAAATCGAATATAAATTACTCTAGAGTTAATTCACTAGCTTACCCCATCCTACAGCCAAACAGGCGTGGGCTCTGAATACGGATGGAGAACTGGACCGAAGGACAGGGTCTTTGGCAGCACAGCCTGGCATCCACCTGGGGGCACATGTGAGCCTCTGGGGACCCTTCCAGCCCTAGAAAAGTTACACCACCGCTTACATGAGCAGCACGCACTTATGCACCAGGAGTTCTTTCAGAAGGATTCTAAGGGACTTGAAACACAAACGGAATTGACTCAAACAATGAAGTCTGAGATTTTAGCCTCCTGGGGAGGGGTTTTGTTCTCTTGATAGTAAATTACCAGTCCAACCAGCTTTTTCACTGCTTCTTAGTGGCCATTTCCAGTGTTGCCCCTAAAACAGGCCCTGTACGTCCATGGTTGGCGCACAGTGAATTTAGTAAAGTTGAATTGAGACCATGGGGCACTTCCCATTTACAGTTACACGCTCCAGCTATTCCGTGAAGCCCTGGTCCCCTTCTCTACTCGGCTGCCTCTCCATCTTGATTCCCGCCCTCCTTCCCCTTGTGTTTTCCAGGTTTTGTTAGCTACGACAATCCAGTGTCTGCGCAAGCTGCTATCCAGGCTATGAATGGCTTTCAGATTGGCATGAAACGCTTGAAGGTCCAGCTGAAGCGCTCCAAAAACGACAGCAAACCTTACTGATCCTAACCCCAGAGGCTCCCTGCTCTTATTTTAGCTTTCTTAGGGTAAGTCCCACGAGCCAGCCTGTTCTCAACAGGAAAGGCAGAGGAGGACCACAATGCCAACTTTTACCAAGAGAGACGGTTATTTTTACAATGAGGCTTCCATTTCCCACTCCCACCCCCCAACCCAGTTCGCCATAATTAAAACTTGGGCTACCTTGTTTCTATCAAGTAAACTCCTCCTCCAGTTGTGCCACTGTATTCTCCTTTGTTTTGCAATTTGAATCTCCTTTTACTTTTTTCGTTTTGTTTTAGTTTTTGCTTTAAAAAAAACCACACATACACAAATAAAAATAAATGACATCTTGAGAATTTAAAAGGCAAACAAAGGCTAATGTGCAGTTCTAACTCTGAGACCCCTGGTCCCCCGAGAGCACTGCCTGGAGAATTCACCCCTCCTATCTGCGCCCACCCCCTAGGAGGGCGCCAGCTGATTAGAGGCTAAGGCGGTGGCCCAGCTCCACAGAAAAGCAAGGAGAAGCGCTTAAAACAATACAAAACGTCTTTCCACTACATTTGGTTTGTCTTAATAAGTAGGATTTTATTTTAGGGTTCAAAGAAACATGACTATTGGTCAGATTATTACACTGGTTGTCTATTTTGTTATTGTTTTATTTTAGTTTTTAGAAAGGATTAATGTAAAAAAAAAGATTTAGAGATCTGTTTCTTAAAGCTACAGGGTTTAAAAATAAAATAAAAATGAGTGAAAATACTTGATGTTTCTTGAAAGATAAATTTAATAATAAATAAATAATACATAAATAATACATAAATAAAAAAGAAAGCCACAGGCCTGTAAATTTTATTTGTAAAAAAAGCATTTCTATTTTTGTACAAAATTTTTACTGCCTCAGAAATAATGGAAGTTATTTATTGCCTATTGTTAACTTATTGGGTACCTAAAGAGCAGTTCTCTGTGCTAGCTAGATCCTTTTGAAGTAGTCTCTAGAGGAATCGTCCTAGGAAGGGGCTTTTTTTCACCATTGAACCCTAGGCCTAAAGTTCATGCTTTATCCTCTTGTTGTTTGTATCTGTCTGATTATTTTGTTCGTAACTTCCATTATCTAGTTTACAATTCAGTCGTCTGACTTTCCCCGTATGTTACATTCGTTGAAACTGGATCCTCTCCCCTGTCCCTTGCCAGCCCCTCACCCCAAACACCCGGAATCCATCCCCTCTCCCTCTCTGGATGGATTCTCTTGGGGTTCCATTGTGCTGTGGATAAAGACTGTAAGAAATGCAAATTATGTGGATGGCTCCTAGACTCCCTAATGACCTAAGATTTGCATTAGTTTTTCTCCTGCACCCTTAAGAGTGATTTTGTTGCTGCTGCGTAGATTCTGTGTAACTTTTTACTCTCCCTTGTTTTCTCCCTAGACATCTTCATGCCCGTTAGGTCACCGTTTGCCTAGCATGTCCCTGTGGCGTCTCAAAAAAAGTTTCATCGTCCCGTCATTGTTTCTGATGTCTTTCTGACCTCACATCATATTTGGTTCTCCTACTGACCTTTGATCTAGTTTGACCTTTGAAATTTGCATGTGACCTCATCTAGCTATGAATTCTGGGAAGTCAATGTGAAAAACATTGCTGCATTCATGCAAGACTGAAATTTATTATTAGACAAATTAATTATAGAAAAAAACAACCTGTGGCAAAAATGTTTCTTTCTTATTTTTTTTTCTTTTCATAAAACAGACTTGAAAGTATTATACAGGGATTGGCATTCTTCCCGGTCACTGGTAACAATAGCAATATGTGTCCAGGGACACAGAATGTTGGTTTCTAACAGACTACTTCCAAAAACAGTTTGAGAAAAAAAACTGTCTGATTTTAAGTCTCTAGAGGTCTGTAATAGTTTTTACATTTTTCAGGCAGTGTAAAGTTTTTTGATAAGGCCATTTTAGGTGGCTCACTTTCTCATTAAGATATATATATAGAACCACTTTTTGTAGATTAGTATAAGAAAAATATTTACCCTGTTTTGGGGCAAATGCTACCTATTTGTGTCACCTTTTGCTGAACTGACTCACAGTTAGACAATCCATGGTTTAATGCACATGAAATTACCTATATTTTATACTGTCTCAATGTACAGGAGAAAGGTTGCTGTGAACTGTGTTACGTTGGTGCTTCTGTGAATTAAGTTGTGGTTTCATCATGAGTCTTACGGTCTTAATGTTCTTTGTTGATAAGACAAGTTTAGAATTGGTTTACTTAAAACAAAAAAGAATTTCAAAAAAAAGTTGTTTGCTTAAAAAAAATTTCATGTGAGGGGGAAAAAAAAACCTATTCCAGAATAAGTTTTGTGTTGGCTTGTAAAGCATTGATGTCATTTTTTTTTTTATTGTGGACTATTTAGATGTGTTTGTGTTCAGCAAAATGTGATTTTTTTTTTCTTTTAAAGAAAAAAAGTGAAAATATATAGTGCCAAATTCCAAAGGTACTTCCTTCCTAGAGCTTCAGTGTGTTTCTTGTGAGAAGTAATTTGATAACATGGGTATTTTATTATGTGTTTTGTATAAATCCCTAATATTTAAAAAACAAAAAACAAAAAAAAGAGGTTAAAAAGTTTGTTAACTTGCTATCCTGTGGTCTTGTTGCCTGAAATTGTTATTGTTTGTTATTTCTCTATGATGTTTTTTGTAAGACATTGTATAAGTGCCCATGTCTCACTTTTTTAACCACTCTGCACATCAATGCTGTGACGGCAACCTCACAATGTATTTTCTTCATAATATATGGAAACCTCTAAGGTGAGAAAGTTTTGAACTTTTAACCCTTTCTACCCAGAGCTATCTGGAATGTTGATAACTTTTTATACGGTCATCATTTTAGTTTGTTTTGGGGTGTTGCTAAGTTGGATTTTTTTTTCCTGCATATATCTTCTCTTTGAGTTTTTTACTTCACTACTTTCTTATCTTTGGTTTGAGACCCAAAAGAAAAAAACTCCACCAGGCAAATCTGAAGGAAAAAAATAGACTTTAACCCTCTCCAATTTCTTTTCCCTACATCTTTTTTTTTTTTTTTTTTTTTTTACTTTGTATTATTTCTGGTCATTTTTTAAAAAAAAGAATTCTTAATGTGCTGCTGGAATTTCTTCTTCAGTTTTCATTTAAAACAGTTTATCAGATAAACCTTCTGAGGGGATGGTAGATGGGTTCAGCACCTAAATAAACCTTAAAGTTTGTACGCTTTTGAGATCAGGATTAGTGGCATGTTCCAGTTTAGAGTATTTTCAAATACCGTCCAGTTAAACAACAGTCTTTTGAGGGACTTTTGCTTTTGTTTCTTAAATACTCCTAAATAATCAGCCATTGTGCTGGGGAGTCTCTGACCCCTGTGGACACCTGAATAAGCAAGGTGTCTGGAGTTAGAAGCCCTGCCTTTTCATTTATCTTTTTTTTTAATGAAATGCATTTAGGGGGACTGACCATCTAAGCAAAACTCAGTTCTTTATCACAGACACTGACCAAACACCCAGCACCAGTTCCTGCTGCCACTTTTTAAAAGTGCCATATTACTTTGACTTCACGTGAACAGAGCCCCTGCTGTCTTGACAAACCCCAGTGTCATCCCTAGGGCCCCAACGCCAACTCCTGCCTTCCTGAAGCTTCTTTGTCTCTGACGGAGTTCAGAACTGCTGGCTCCTGTTCCTTTCTCCGTTTCCCACTCTCCACCCTCTTTGGTTTAATGTGTGTGGATGTGATAGCCCTGGGATGGAAAGGACTAGCCTCTCATGATGCAAAAAACACAAAAACAAGTTTCCTTCTTATAGCACATGCACTTCTAATGAAAGGATTTGTATTATCCTCACACGTGTTTACTACTGCTGGGGCCTTCCTTCATCCTCTGAGGGCTATTTTGTACTTCCTGCAGCAATCAGCTTCATAACAAAAGTTACCACACCTGGCTCTCATATCCATCCTGCGGTGGTGTGTAGATACACACACAGGAACACAAGAGAACACCATTTGAACTGCTGAAGGCTGTTCATTCAGAATCTCTTCATTTATCAATTACACATAAATCTCAAAATCCATTTTGTCTGATTTCCTCCCTGAAGGAAACTGCCCTCCTCCGCCCTCATTTCCTTTCACTCAGCGCAGCTGGCAGGAGGCTCAGGGTGGGCACTCGGAGCTGTTTCTTATTCTGCAGGCAACCAAGACAGGGCATTTAGGATTTAGGGGGAAAGTCCTTTTTTTTTGCATGTTTCATTGTTAAAAAGATAACCCTCCTCAGAGACAAGTTGTCCTTTTATTCACTTTATCTTTTCATATCAAAAGGAAAAAGCTGCAAGGGTGCAAAGGGCCCATGCCAGAAGAAACAACACACAGGGAAACTGCTTTTTTAAAAATCAAGCGTAGAGAATAGTCATTTTTAAACTAAATTAGAGAATTGTGATAAAATGGCAGTCCTCAAGGCGTAACAAGTTCATCTTTCTTTCACCATAGGGGTTAGAGTTCTTTGGCTTGTGCTACTCTGGAATCATTTTACTGTTTCTGTTTTTATTATCTTAAGTGCTAATTAACAAGAAAAAATAAAATTTTAAAAAAACCTGTAGTTTCATTACCTTTTTGAATAATGTCATACAAAAAATGTATTTGTGTTTTTTTTGTGCTGTGAGAATTGTTGTTTGTAGATTAACAATATTTTGTTTAGAATTACAAAATAGTTTTTAAATATTGTCTGAGAAAAGCCAAAGTTAATGCAACCTAGTGGAAACTGTAAGACCATTTGAGTATTGTTTCTGTTTTATTGATGCATTTGGATTTTGTTGTTTGATGGAATTTGAGCCAAAAAAAAAAAAAAATGCAGGCTTTCCTATTTCTACAATTGATTGTACTTATGCATTTTGTACCAGTGGAACTTTTTATACTGGAGATTAAAAAAATGGAAATTTTTGTGGCTTACTCTAGTGGGCCCCCTGACAATGACTGATTTCAAGTTTGATTTCTGGTTGATAGAAAGAAAGTTGCTTTTCTTTTGAGAATTAAAAACTTTGGCTTGATTTCTTTTTCCCTTTGCTTATATCTAGCATTAGAATTTTGTCTTAAAATACAGCGGTAAGTTTCACTTTTTATTCTGTATTGTGCAGTTACACAATAAGGTAATTAGATTTAGAAGTACTCAGTCACTTTAAGTGGATAAATGTATTAGTTAAAACTTTAGGGGTTTGCTTTTTTGCTGTTTAGAACAAAGTTTTTTCTGATTCTTCTGTCCTCATTGTGAACATAACCGTGTAGTTGAAACAGTCAAACTTATTTTTGTAACGTATGTTATTGTGTGATGCGGTTTTTTGCTTCTGTCTCCAATATTAAACCATTTTCCTAATACTTGTTTCTCTCTCTGCGTGTTGTATTGTTGGTAGTCATTATATGTTGGTGATACATCTACACACCTCACTGTTGCACGTATCTGTTTTTTTTCTCTATGTTGTGTAAAAGATACAGTCGATTCCACCTAAGTGAATATCTGATTTGGGGAAAAGGGCAACTGCACACCAGCCACCTCTGATTTATGTACAACAGCCCACTTTAACTACTGCTTCCAAGATTTATACTTTTTTCTATGGTTCATCTAAATAACTGCCTACACAGTTGGATTTGCCAAGACCTTCGACGGTCTTCTGACCACACTGGTAAATTTCACCTTCTCTTCTCTCCCCGTCTCGCATGGGTATATGCATGCTGTTCTTAACATGCATTAAAAACTGCTGCTTTGCTGCATAACCTCAATAAACTTAAGAAGAAGAGCAGCAGAGCGGGGGTTTCTTTCAATCCACTCACCATTACAGTCAAACTCTTCTTAGACACTAATAACATTTTTAAAAGAGGTGAACTCTCGAGGGAAGAAAAAATAAACTTAGCTGGTGAATAGAAGGTGTGCAAAGGGTTAAACTTAAGTCTGTGTGTTGCCATCAATCAATCGATACGTATAGAAAAGTAACTTAAATTATTTATTTTCAAGAGCTAATTGAATCCAGGAGCAGCTTTAATTATTAAAGCTAATGGAAAAGAAAAGAACTATTTCCAAGTGCTCAAACGGAAGCTCTACTGGGTCGGGTGGAGTGGGAGGGGAGGAGTTAAAGGTTCTCATACTCAAGTCTTCATCACATACCGTCCATTTCCAAATGAAAGCTAAGAAAGCCACATGCAGCCACACACTGCCTCCTGAATGAACATGTCTTCTTTAAAAAGCCTTGTCCCCCACTATCACTCCAACCCCAGTTATCAAAGAGAATTAAAGAAAAAACGATTCCTTAGACGCCCTCTAAAACGGAAGCCACAGGCCCTCCTCCTCCTTCTGCCCATCTCTTATGCTCAGGAATCTGACTGCTCTCCAAGTGCTCTTACAAGATTCCATTGATGTTTGCTCCCTATGTCTTATCTCTCCTTCCAACTTTGCAGACGCACAAGCTCCATCTAACTCAGGCCACCCAGCACCTGGCAGCCTTCTGGCAGCCAATGAGATTTTCCCTGAAGGTGCTCAGGCCCTCCACCCTCTGGTTTCCGCAGCCCCTCTGGCCCTAGATTGTCTTTTCTTGTTGGCTCAGCAACAGAGGGGACTGGTGAGGTGAAGGAGAGGAGGCTCTTTTCCCCCAGAGGCCGAACACCTCAGTGAGTGACTTCCACCAGCTCCAAACCTGCACACATAGGAGCTGACTTCCTGCCAATACTTCTACTTTAAATCTCATCAGAGCCTTCATGAGTTTGCCTCTGAAAACCCACTGCTTATGTTAGTGGGAAAAGATGGCTACGGGTGTGATTTCTTTTTTTCTTTCTTTTTTATTTATTTGGTGGGGGGTGTGAGGGAGGGGAGAAGGGGGGAAAGAGGGTGACCAGTTCTTTCCAAGATGCAAGTGTTTATTTTAAAATATATAACTTATATACATCCAGCCTTTGGCACAAGGCAAAATACTCATGCTAAGTAAAAGAAGGGAAAGACAAAGCCAGTTTTTTTTGTTGTTGTTTGGGAAAGCAACAACAAAAACAATAATTCTCCAAAGAAGGGGACAAATATGCTAGTTCCCTCCAGCACTTAGGACTGTCAAGTTGGTCCCTGCTTAAATTCATCCTTACCATTTGGATTCTGTAAAACCCAGCTGCAGTGTTAGCAAGGTGTGTCTGTTTGCCATGCATGGACCACCTTGGGAAATTACAGAATTGTCAACGTTTACCTTGCTGATGGAAGCCACACGTCTGCCCAGCCCACAGCAGTTACGTGCAACCCATGGGCTGGGCCTCTTAGCTGGCAGGCTAGGAAACACAGTGAACATAAATGTACTGTGAATCGTTCCTGATAAGTGAATAAAACATTGTGACCAAACAATCAGCTTATTCACTTATCAGGAATCGACTGTTCTGCTAATTCGCTGTTTTTGTTTTTCATCTCTGTTGTAGTTCACTATTTTTGCTGTGTTCTGTTTTCTCCTCTCATGCTTGGGCAAAATCACTGGGAATATTATCTTCATGTGACCATGAAACGTTTATATCGAGTGAAAATGATATCTTAACAAAATCTATGCACTTGCTATCAGGAACACAATACTGGATGTGTCTTATATATATTGAACTATATAGTACTCGATTTCTTAAATAAAGCTTAAGAAAGGACTCTGTTGTGTGTAAAGTTAATGTGATTATTTTTCAAAGCAGTGTTTCTACGGGGTATTTTTGTTCTTTTAAGTCTTGAGTGATACAGGATATTTTTCATTAAAATTCTATCACTGGCTTTATGACTTAATATTCAATAAATTGACTTTGGAAACAAAATGGAGTGGGGGGAAGTTCTTCCGAGTGCATTTTAGCAAGAGACATCTGGAAAACCATCCCCTTACTGATGACCATAGCAAACCTCTAGCCAGGGCACTGTGGGTGGCAGAAGAGAGCAATCCCTTCACCACCACAAGACCCCTGGAAAGCATCCAGAATCTGCCCAAACCTAGAAAACCCACTGCCTCTCTGAATGTGATCTCTTTAGGCTCAGAAGAAAGGGGACAAAAAAGAAAGGCAGAGCCAAGAATAATGCTGGTTTGCATCAATGCTTTTCCAAAAGGATGTGACACTAAAACTGGACCCTGCTGGAGAGCAATGGCAGTTCTATTCAGGACTGCAAAATGAGAGAAGGCGAGAGAAGGTGTTTGATCATTCAGGATGAGAAGGGTAACATTTCAAAGCAATATGAGAGAGAGACGTCCTGTAACAGTTGTGAAGCTTAAATGGGAGGCCTGCTGCTTGGCCCTTTGAAGGAACATTTTTGAAATTTTTCCTACAGGCCATAAGTCTGAACAGAATGGTGTTTTCTGTTGAATTTTTTTGCTTTGGGGTTTTATGTTAGATTTGTTTTTCTGGTTTAATGTTTGATTCTAACAAAAGTCCTAAACTTCTACTTTCAAAATGGCACAGGCATCCTAATCCTTTATAAAACAAATCTTACTTGTCCCTGATAATGAGGGACAGAGAGAGCATGGTTAATGAAAATCCACAATCACCATTCTTCTCCCAGTCTCTCCCTCCTCCCAACTCAAACCTCCTGCTCATAAATTTGTCACCAAAACAAAAAACTTCTAGTGAAAGTGAGGGATCAGAGAAATAGCCAAGGGTAGCAAAATCAAAGGGTCTAGATAGACTGCGCTTGCTGGGGCCATGCAGTTTGGGGTTCGGGGTAGAGGTTCTGTTTAAAAAGAAAGTTTAACATTTTGAAAACCACTGGTCTACATGAACTGGGCTCAGGTGCTGAAGAGCTGCCTGCACATGGAGGTGCCCTAGGAAGTGCCGTTCTCACAGTCTTGCCTTGAGCATCACTCACATAGCTAGAAAGCATCCTCTTTTTCAAAAGAGAACACATCCAAGGCAATAATGGGTAGGAGAGCTCTGAGCCTCAGTCAGGGAAGAAAGCATGAAAACCAACATCTTCCCCTCTCAGTCTGCAGCCCCTATTCAGCAGTCCCCTAGCACGGAACTCACCAGCCAGGGCTGCGTGCTAGGAGACCCAGCTCAGGGGGACAGCCTGAGGGTGTGTCAGGCAGGAACTGCTTTATGGGAAACGCTACATTTCTTTTAACCTTTCTCTACTGGGCAAAAAAGCAGCCTGGCACCAAGTTCTAACTACCTACATCCAGAGATTGTTTTTTAAAATAAATATATATATTAAATACATAAATATAAAAGACATCTGTGTTCTGCAACTGGTCAAGTATAGTTAAAGCCCCAAATAAGAATCCCCAATTTTGAGACACTGCATGAGCCTTCTGTCATGAAGCTGGTGTTAAAGGTACAGGTGGTGCTTAGGAGCATCCTCTGGGGAGCCACACTGCCTAGCTTTGAATGACAGCTCTACCACTAATTACCTGTGTCCCCTCTCTGTGCCTTAGTTTCCTCATTGGCAAAATGGGGGTACAAATATTACCTATTGCATGGGGTTCTTACGAGGATTAACTAAGCCAATACATACAAAATGCTTAGATCAGGGTCCACCAAAAGGTCATCTAGTTAGTTGTGGTAGCAGTGGTAGTATCTACCACCATGGCCAGCTAAGCTCCCCACTGCTAACCTAGTCTATTACTTTTTCCCACCAGGCATCCTCTCGGCCATCCCCAGAGAGCCCCACAGCTCTCCCTGGGTTCCTTGAGCAATTATAGATAAGGTCTGGCCAGAAACCACAGCTCCTCCAGCAGAGAGGTCTCTACACTGACAAATTCCAGAACAGGCTTTTCCCCTCATGAGAAATTATACAGTAGAGGCATGCCCACCTTATAAAGGCTAGCACACCCGCAAAGTCCTGCCCTAAGTCATGAGCCCAACAACCAACTCCATTCTCAGAAACGGAAACTGGTTCCTCACTCTAATCCACCTCTTCCTACCTCTAAGTGTTAGATTTAGGTATTTCTTCCCCAGAAGAAAAGCATAGCTGTCCCGCTTGGGTCCTAGGTGGGAATGACAAAATCAACTGGAGATTGGCCTGAAACATACCTGAAGGTTCTATGCCCTTCCAAAACGAAGCTGTGACCACCTCTGACCACCTAGGGCAGCGCTCAGGGCTCAGAAGCCTGTATGTAGCCAAGTAGAGAGCTCTCTGGACAACCACCCCCATCTTCACCCCACCCCCAATTTAAGCAAACGTGCTCTGTTTTTGTTTTTTATTTATCAGTGGTCCTTGTAGAATTTTATTTAGAAAAACAACTTTGCTGATAAAAGCACAAAAATTAAAAACCACTGCTTTATAAGAGGGTAACTCTGAGAGACGCTAAGAGTTACCTAAGCCTGTGACAAATATTTATCTTTGGAGTCATTCTCTCTTTCCCTCTTCTTTCATCATCTCTCTACCCCTTCTATATTCCCATAGTTCTTTGTCTGTGATGCATCATAACATTTGCTATTTATTGTGTGCTGTTTACATGTTGCTTATGTCTGTCTCCCAAGCTAGAGTGTGAACTCTTTGAAGGAAGTGACTGCATCTCATTCATCACTTTATCCCCAGTGCCTTACATAGGGCCTGCCATATAGTCAGTGTTAAAACTGTTGGATGGATGGATGGATGGATGATTGACTGGGTGAGTGCAAGGATGGATGGATGGGTGGATGGATGGATGAACAGATGGTAGGGTGGGTGGATGGATGGGTGGGTGGATGTATGTATGTATGAATGTAGCAGGTGATCTTGGGCTAGAGGAAAGCATTTCATATTAAATGGATAACAACTCAGGAAATATCTGTGGACAGAGGTCTGATTATGCAATGGAATGAGGATGGTGGAAACTGGAGGCCTGTTGGCAAAAGTCAGGAGCCACTATGGGAGGGCTGGGACACAGAAGGGGACAAGGAAGAAGAAACTTCTGCTTGTGAGTCCCAAATACACAGGTTCTGCCTTGTTTGCCACAGAGCTAGTCAGCTATTGGATCCTGAATGGAAGGACATTCCTGCAATTAGGTCAAGCTACCTTGGATGTGTTGTCATCTTTTTTTTTTCTGGAGGAAGATTAGCCCTGAGCTAAATCTGCTGCCAATCCTCCTCTTTTTGCTGAGGAAGACTGGCCCTGAGCTAACATCCGTGCCGTTCTTCCTCTACTTTATATGTGGGATGCCTACCACAGCATGGCTTGCCAAGCAGTGCCATGTCCGCATCCAGGATCCAAACCAGTGAACCCCACGTGCGCACTTAACCACTGTGCCACCGGGCCAGCCCCTCTTGTCATCTTTTTTAAGCTAAATTTTGCACCCTCTCAGGAATAACTTTATATCCAGGGACTGTCCCTAGATAAATTGTTAATATCAAAGAGACCGGAAGAGCCATAGAAGTGAATACAAATCAACAGAAAACTATGAATAAAGGCAACTGATTCTAAGGCATTCTTGAGAAGTAGGTCAACTCCCTTTTGCCTTCTCTCCCAGTTGCAGCTACTGTTCAACCTGCCAAGTTAGTACCTAGAGCAGGACGGGGCCCAGATGAGCTCACAAGCAGTGTAGTACTTAGAACAGCCTTGAAAAGGCAAAAGCCCAAGCTGCTGCTGGGATGACATTTAGCTCCAGGCATCCAGGAAATGTACTGGAATCCAGACAATGTGTCTCAACTTATCAACAGCTACCATAAGGACAGTGCATAATCTACTGATCATTCATTTGTTCAAAAGACATCTATTAAGCAGCTACCCCATGCAAGGCGCTCTGGCAGGGGCTGGGAGTGCAAAAAGAAGTACTATATGATCCTGCCTCCAGTAGTTTGCCATAATTAGCATATCTGCCAAGTAAGGAGAAACCCTTCAAACTGGAAAGAGTGCATGGTCCAGACAAAAAACTCCCCACAATAGACATTATGTCACCATGGTGCCCACACGGCGTTATGTACTGAAGATCCACAAAGAGACAGCATCTCTTTCAGACTCTCTAGTCCTTGGTTGAGTTCAGTGCTACTCAGATTCAGTGTCGCCCTGGCTAGAGCTTAAAGGTCTGTCCTGGGGGAGAATGAAATACAATGGTTGATGGGGATGGAGAAGCTGGCCCTAAAGTCTTCTCCACACCAATGGCTCTAACAAGGGCAAACCCGAGCAAACTGGCCGTATGTGCACAAGAGTCGTGTTTCCCAACTGGTCACCTGTGGCACATTCTTACCAGTCTTCAGAATGTGTTCCATCCAATAACTTCACCTCTTTAAAAACTATGACCTGAATCAAATGGGAGCCTCCTTAGCAAGGAATACAATGAGGTTGGGAGGGGAGTGGTAAAAGGAGACAGAACCTCTACAGGAATGAGGGATGGAGTCTATGGCATAAGAAAATGTCCTACGGGGCTGACAGCACAGTCACCTTCCACCTCTAGCTCCAGGGCCCAAGCCCACAAGCTTACTCTCCACCCGGTTCTCACTGTGCCCACCTTCCCATCCCACTGTGAATGTGTGTCCCACCATCCAGGTGCCCCATTCAGTTTCTCCTATAGGGCTAGATACACCCCTATTCCTAGTTTCAACTTCAGCCCAGTCACAGTAAAATGTTGGTGACACCTGCCAGCTTTCCCTGGTGTCCCACTCTCTGCAGAGCAAGTGGCAGAGACAGGAGATTCCCAATTCAACTTCCCTTCCCTGAGATGAACAGGTGAGAAAGGCAGCCCCTTCAGGTTGGC